ATCAAATGAGCAGTGCCTGGACCATTATAGATATTTGAAAGCTGTATACAAATAGAACTCAATTTTCTTACTGAATTCCATTACTGAGGATTTAATCAACTTGATTTTTATCCCATTTTTCTTTTTGGGCCCCTGAGATACAGCTTTCTGCCTATCAGGCAATAGAAGGCAAAGGGGAGTTTCTGTAAACCACTAAAAATCAGGTCCTCTAAAATCAGGGCAGAACAAGAAAACACTTAGCCTGTGCATCTTTCATCTACCATACACCCAAACTTTCTTAGGTCAGAGAAGAAGACAAGGGAATAGTACTGGCTCTGAAATCAAGCCCAGATTTTTCACTATTATATAAATGAAACGATTCACAGATGACACATTTTCTCATGCCTTGATGCCTTTCTCTGGATCCAAAAGATTAATTTCCTCAACTGGACTAAGCTTGTATTCCTTCACAGTTGTGCTTTCCCATGCTGCTGGCAATGGCAGATTGACTAGAATAAGGAGTGGCTGCTGCAGGGGAAGCATTACAGATAAAAACAAAAACACAAATGGATTTGAAGGATTCTAGAACACTTTGCTGCTAGGAGAAGCTGAAGAGCAGAAAAAAAGAAAACATTAAAGCAAGAAAAAAACATTAAAGCTTGGTGACTATGCATGCACGAGAAATGGTGGAAATAACAGACGTGAAAGACCTGAAAACAAAGCAAAGAAGAAAATGAAGTCACATGTGAGACTTTGCTCTGCTCACTCAAAAGAAGCATGAGAAAATTCCTTTCCATACTCCCAGAAAAGAAGCCTGAAATTATTGTCCCAAACATTGCATTTTTTAAAAAGAAAGTATAGACATAGCTTTGGATCATGGACATTTCCAATGAACCATTTACTTCAGCTGACAATAACCAAAACTGGAGACTTAAGAGGAAGATGTAGAATCTCACAAACTGAGCTATCTTTGCCATTTTCCATAGGCAAAGACTGTGTTTGGTCAGTGAGTATTTGAAGTGTCCATCAGACTGCTCTGGGATGTTAGTTCTGAATGTGCATTTGTCACCACTGTCCATTCCAGTCTAGCAACATACTATTTCATTTTTTCATGTTTTCTCTGCTGTGTGTTTCCTCTCTTGCTAAATGCTTTCAGTCAGTCTAGTACTTGTAATAACTCTTAACAACAGTTGTTACAACAGGGGACTGGATGCATTTCTTTTAGTTATACTCCCTACAGGGTATGGAGCAACCTAAGGGAAGAGCTACCCAGAAAACTAAGACTTCAAATTTTGAACATCCTAACAAACACAGTTTTACAGTATTTGGGCTGTGGTCTCATTCCCTTGAGTTAAAACTGAAAAACTGTTGTTGTTGTGACTATCCAAACACTGTTTTTCCATTTACATTTTGTTCTTTGCTTCTGCTGTTTTCAATTGCCATGCCAAAGTTTCTCCTGTTTATTCTAATTGTTTTAGTATGTCTGACTCTCATTGGTTTATATGTTTAGTCTTGTCCTGATTTAATATGAATTAAAATGCCAATGCCACGACCAGTCTGCAAATATGAGTCAGAGCAGAAACTATTTAAATAATACTATGGATGGTACCCGTCTGGTTTGGTATCTAGATCATATAGAATAATGCTGTTTTTGTTTTCTACTACTATTGCCTGCTATTCCCAATGAAGTGTTGATTGTGATTTTGACCACAAATATGTTTTGTTCCTGGTCCTATTAGCCAAAAGAGCGTGGTTTACTGCATGTATGTACGTGAGGTTGTTTTGATTATACTAAATTCACTTTAGAAAACCCACATTCTGCCACTGCAGCGCTACAGGACAATGAGAAAAGAATTTCCAATGAGAACACTATTTTAAAAACAAACAACTGGGCCCCTTCCCTTTAGATGAATTTTAAGGCACACTACCCTTTCTTCTGAATTTGATTATTACATCTGAATACTGCCTTCCACAGAAGGCCCCTGTCCTTTTCCATCTCAGTCATTACATAAGACAGCAAATTTCAAGTTGTACAATTCCAATTCACACCAAGGTTACGCTTTTTTAAATCATTAGTTTAGTGCATTGAGGAAAAACATTAGGTGCTAACTGTTTTTTTTATTATTTATTTAGTGGTGAATCTGGCTACCACATGGCCAATGGCAGCTTGAATCTTATTGTTCTCATTCTTGGTACCTCTATGGACATGGGAATATTTTCCATTTCATGTCTGCCACTCTGAGCTTCTAGCTCTCCAGAGAGAGGGGCAAGGCAGCGGGGCTTCATATTTTATCAGTTCAAGTTATAACAGAGCATTGTCAAACTCTGGCAGAGTCTCAGTTAATATGATTGTCGTCTAGGAAAGACAGGCTTAAGTGTCAAGTGGTGAATATGCCTATCAAACACAACGCGCCCTGAATTCCTTTGCATGACTTTCATTTCTGATTTAGTTTACTCAGTCTCCTCCAAACAGGTGATAGCTGGGCATCTAACATGCTGTCCATGTCTTTTACAAGCCGAAACATTAGCATAAATGACAGACAAACTAGCAAAAACCTGATGCTCTTTCATCCTGGCTGAAATGAACCTGAAATGAACCAGCTTTAGATCTAGAACCCCCTCTAAATTCCAGACATAAAGACAATCAGGAGATACCCTCCTGGCATCAACCCTAATCCTAGTCTGGCAGTTTTTACCATATTTGATAAAGATGTCTTATCGTTCCCTGTTTCATAGCTTTGCTCTCCCCCAGGCACATCCCAGCCAACAGTTTAAGTATTTCCCAGTAATTTTACCAGGATTTTTGTAACACAGGATACATTTAAACTATGTGTACCTGGGGACTACATGGAGATTTCAGTAAGATTACACTCTTGTCAGCTAAATTTAAATGCACTCTTTGTCTTCAGTGCCTGAAGCCCTGTGCTAGTAACACAAAGAATGAGGCTGTCCCCTCTTTTTCAGCGGAAGCAAATCAGCTTATCACTAATAAAAAGCCCTTCACTGCTCCTTAAAGTAGAGACTAATAACAGTGAGTCAGATATATTCTTGTGATAGCATTTGTACAATTTAAGAAACCCTCCCAGCTGACTGAAAAGCGAAATGGCATTTCTCCAACCACTTAATCTCAGTGTAACAGCATCTGTGGCTACAACCCATGGTTTAATCTCTGGTTACAGTAGGGCCAGTTAATATGTCTTCAAGTAAATGACTGTGTTTTTATCATATCAAACTTGCAGCCAAAAAAGAGGGGAGTTTTCTTTTTCTCTTTCTTTTTTTTTTTTTTAAGTGTTAGAAAAAAAAAAGCAAAAAGAGCCCAAAGCTGTGGCTGTCAGCAGTGCTTAACCTGGTAGACAATTTCTTGATTTTTTCCCTGCGTTTCAGAGAGACAGGAAAAGGAACGTCTTGTCATGTTTTAGATTTCAATATAACGTCACAAGCATCTGATAGCTCATTCACACATAACGTCAAGATCTGTTCTACAAGATCTTACTGCAACTTACAAGACAATTACTCTCCTTGGAAAGCTGCCAGTATGTTCTGCACATTACACAAAACATTAAATCTTTCTGACATAGGTTCTATGATTATTTCAAGGGTTTTCACTGTTTCTGCTACACATGCCTATGCCTAAACTGTACTTACTCCTCAACATATTCTTCTAATCATCTATTCTACACTTTCTTGACCCACAAGCTTTGATACAATTGTCTGGTGATAGAGGAATTGAGTTTTTTATTGCAGAATTCCCAGCAGGAGAGGCTGATGGAGTCCAGATACATATACTTTTAAATCCTATTTTAACCAAGACTGCATATGTAGTTTAAAACCAGACGTGTTTAAAATTGTGTAAATCAAAGACTGATTTGCAAGTTTACTGAGACTGACGAGGTCAACCAGTGTAGGTTAGTATTTTGCATCATTGTTAGTATTTTGCATTGTTGCCAACTCTTGCAATTTTTCTTGAATTTGTTGATATTTAGTATTTACTATAAAATGCTGGAACCAAGGGCTTTCCTGAAGTTCTGTACTTTAATATTACAACAAAGTTCCCAAACCTTACCTATGTACCTAAAAAAAAAAAAAAAAAAGAGAATGAGACCTGAGTACGTAATTATAAACACAAAATGCCCAGAAAAATTAATAAAAAGGAATTAAAACATTCCTTTAAAAAAAGGTTTCATAATTTAAAAACAAGCTTTGGTGTGCAGAGGTGCTAAATTTTTGAGGTTTTCCCATTTCCACTTCTTACTCTTGTTTGGATATGAGTAGCTTGGGAGGCCTCCTCCCTCTCTCCTTTCAAAAGGCCACATAAAATGTTGTCTTCAAGCAATCAACTTACAAACTACTTGCATATTTTCATTGCATACTTTGTCGCTTTTCTAGTGGAGACAAGTGCTTTGAACAGAAAACGTGTTACAGCTGACCAGCTTTATTTACTTTCATGAAATCGTTTCAAACTCCTCTGTTGATTAAGAGTGTCAGAGTTCACGATTCCCCACGCGGGATTACTACGAAATGCCGCTTTCCTGGCAAGGCTAACGCCGAGCCACCTAGCCCAGCTGAAAACACAAACCCAAGTCTCTCTTCTCCCTACAGTTGCAGACAGCTGATCAAAGCTCCAGCAGACAACACGTCCAAACTTCTCCCCGTTCCCACAGTCTCCTTTCAAAGCAGTATTTGCAGTGCTGACATCACCGGGCCCAGCCGCCCTCACGGCAGCTCCGCTCCTTCCCCCCTGCCCTGCCGCTACCAGCTCCCTCTGCCCAGGGCCGAGAGCTCCTCGTCGCCGCTCCCGGTGCCGACCCCACGTCTCCGGTCCTGACCTGGAGGGACAAACGACGCCCACTGCCCTAGGGCTCATAGTGTGTGTGTGGGGGGGGCACCCGGGCCCGGCCTGCTCTCAGGAGGCGCAGGGAGCCGCTGCTCTGCCCCCGGCACCGTGACGCCCTGTGCTCCCACCCGTGACCTCGGGGACCGGCCCCGTGTCGGGGCCTGCCGGAGCCCCCGCGGGTACTAACCTGACCAGGTCGGTCATACAGGATCCCACAACCACCACCTCAGCGGCCATGGCGCCGGGGGAACGGGGTATCCCCTGGGCCTGCTGCCCAGGCCTTGGACCCTGGACTCGGCCTTGGCGGCGGCTTCACCCGTTGCCATGGGCGACGGGTGGGGGAGCGGCAGGCCTGCAGGGACCTTCGGGCTGGAGGGGTGGCCGTGGCGAACGCCTGCTGGCGAGGCCGCCCCCTCCTCTCCTTCCCTTCTCCCTCGCCCCACTCCGGCCACAACGGACCCACAGCCGCACGCATGCACGGCGGGACAGTCCGCACAGGCACTGCGGCAGCCGCCAATATCGGGGCCGATGAAGACCCCTCCGGCCCGAGAAGCGGCGGTAGCGGGGAGTGGGGCGGAGGCGTGCACGCTGCGCGGAGGGGCGGGAGCGCGCACGCCCGGCGCGGGTGGACGGGACGGGCGCGTATCCGCAGCCGTTGCTAAGCGGTTGCTTTCCGGCCGCCGTAGGTATGGCGGGGCCCGGGCAGGGCCGGGGATGGGCGGGCGGGAGCAGCGCCCCTGTCGGCTCCGGGGAAGCGGAGCGGCGGGCGACAGGCCAGGCACGCTTGCTTGTGCCCCGGCGTCCCGCCTCCTCCGCCAACCCCGGGGCGGCTACAGGCCGGCTCTTAAGGAACTGGCCAGGAGGCGGCCCGGGGGCCATTGTAGCCGGGGGTCACGGCTGGCCGAAGCCCGGTCCTCTCCCGGGCGCCGCCGCCGTGGCGGGATGGAGTGGGGCGGCACGCAGCGGCTCCGGTGGTGGGCCCACCGCCTCCGCACGGGGTGGTGGGGCGGTGATGCGGCGGCCGCACCCGGGTGGAGCGGAGGAGCGGGGCCTCTGTGCGAGGGCTGAGGGAGCCTGGGGTTAACTCGGGCTCTGCAGACCCGCGGTGCTGCTCCCATCGCGGGCTGGCAGGCGGGGCTGCCTTCGGCCACGGCGGGAGGAAGCGAAGGTGGTCGTGAGTTCCCTGGTTTCCCCACACCCAGACACCCGTTGCACCCTCGAAGTGAAAAGCGCAGGCCCAGCTTGCCGACAGCCGAGCGAGAGGGTTAGTCTCGAAGGGTTCTCTCGCTCTTCAGTGCTTCCATCACAATATTCACCTGTGCTGATATCGGTGGTGGGGAGCAGAGAATCTTGTATCTGGACACTCTCTGGTGCCCAAAACAATGCCTGGGATTTCAGGGTTACTGTGAAGCATATGCTACATTTGCCCGAATGCAAAGGATTCACTCTTAGTCTGTTTACTTCTTTCAAATGTTTTGTTTTCAGAGGGAAACAGTCTAGTGAATTTTGTTTTCGTTAACTCCCTTGAGTTTGTTTGTGTTCTGTTTCAAGTGCTGTGGGAAAATTAAGCTGGGAAAAAGAAGTGACAACTGAAACTTACGAAAGCAGTCCTAATTGCGTTAGAGTTTGTAAAGACCTCTGTTTACCAAATAAATTGGGGAGTTTAATTGGTAATGACCCTGTATATCTGGCTTGTTATGTAGAAGGTATTGTGGATCTTAAAGAAATGATGCAATAAAACTAGGAAAAATGCCTAGTGGTCATTGGCATCTTGTTTTGACAATATCTGTGCATTTCATTAACAAAATGATAAGGAATCTCATCCTGCAGTTCGTTTTGGAAGGTGCAGCTGTTGATCATCAGCTTGGATCACCATGTGTATCTCTTAATGCCTCACAATTCTGTCCTCATAACACAGTCCCCTTAACGTGCCATTATCAGAACTGATTCTGAGAGGCCTGTGTGTACTTTTAAGATTGCTAGGTGGATAGCTTGGCTTTCTGCATGTTTTTAATGATTGGGAAGTTCTTGCTTTCTTCAGGCTAGCTGCCTCTCTGCTTGAGATGACTCTTTCCAGCTGTGGAGCCAGCAAACTAAAACATGTGCTCTGTTTTAGCCACTCTTGTGCAAAGAAATTCGTGCCCAGAGAAGCTGCGGCTGCTCCATCCCTGGCAGTGTTCAAGGCCAGGTTGGACACAGCTTGGAGCAACCTGGCATAGGAAAGGTTTCCTAGGGGTTGGAACTAGATGAGCTTTAAGGTCCCTTCCACCCAAAACCATTCCATGATGAGTTTAAACTCATGTTTTATTACTGGTTCAATCTAAGCCATTGGACTTTGCGCTAAAAGAGGTCAAGTATAGGCTTATGGTCTCTCAGTTCCTCTGGGGAAGAATAAAGGTGAGCAGGCAGCAATTTTTGGTAGAAAAGTAACAGACGGGAGGTAGCATCTTAAATTGCTGTGATGTTTGCTAAGTGAACTTAAGTAGTTGCCTCTTGTCAATTACAGCAAATCAAACGTGTGGAGAGTGTGTTGTGTGTTAGGACATGGGTATTTAATCTTCAGCTTTTTGTCTACCATAAAATGTAAGAACCAGAGTATTAAAGATAATTGCCATTTTTAGGAAGTCTTAATTTATTAGTCTTTTTGTTTGCCTTAGAGTGTCTGGCCTTTGCTTTATTCAGATGCATTCCAACTAGCTAGGATAAATACTCTTTTCTTGAACATTGCTTCACACTCCTTCAGTCGGAATGACTTTCATGAGAACAAAATGTGTAACTGTAATGTTGCTACCAGTTCCAGGGAGTTACCAGTTTACGGAATATCCCTTAGTTACCAACTAATACTTGTAAACTGAGTGTTAGAAACAACAGCAAATTGCAACTGTTGCCATGAGTTGTTCACACTCTCTTTATAGAATGCTTATTAGTACAGCAGCCCATATGGGGCATTTTGTAAGGAAGTAAATACAGTATGTATTGGTGGTTTTCAGTTAAGTGGATATTTCTAAAAAATATCTTTTAATGGTCAGAATTTAAGTATGAACTTCTCTAACCCACTTGTCAGTGGCATGTTTATGTTACCTTGAGTCATTTGTGGCTTTGTTTTCTCACATTATCAAGTTCAGTTAATTTTCAGTTGACACTCTGCCTAAGAATATGCTCGAATATGATAACTTAGCATTTTAACAGGTTACCCTTCTTTTCTCCCATTTCTCTTACCACAGTCTGTTGTGCACATACTATAGCCTTTTGGAGGTACAATGAGTTAAAATGTGTGCATGTTCAGTTTCTGCGTTTCAGCTAAGAGGTAGCAGGTTCTTGAAGTGTGCTAACTTAGTGGACTAACAGATATAGCATAAGGTCGCACAATTGCAAGCACTTCTTTAAAAAGGCATGCTTAAAATGTGCACACATCAGCTTCCTGATCTGTTTTGTGAATGAAGATGCCTTTCAAAGAGTATGGCAATACCACGGAAAGAAAAGCAGTGTTAGCTTTTAAAAGGCATTGTGAAATGCTTTAAATAGCTACCTAATGGAAGTAATGTGAAAGTAATACTGATTAAGGTTAGACAAGTGGTATTAGAAATTACAAATGAGAACACGAAGAGACAATCAAACCATTACTCCCATTGCAATCGGTAATGTAAGTGCCATTGATTTTGGTGGAAGCAGAACAGATGTGACTTGTCAATTACAAGCTCCTGATGGAAACACTCATGAGAAGGGCCAGGCTGTGAAGTGTCAGAGTGGCCATCAGTTTTATTTCTCTTTCTTATATGGATAGGGTCTTAATTAAAGGAGCCTAGGACATATGTCTGTTTTTGTCTTGATGTTGAATAAATGGACTTCATTGAATGTTGTAGAGGTAGGAGGAAAAGAATTAGCTGTGTTTATTTTTTTTTCTTTATAAAGCTGTGCACACTTCAGTTGCTCTACATTTCTGATCCTTTGCATGCATAGATTTTTTTTCTGTCCATGTTTGCAGAGTACATGTGATTTTACATCAAATAAGTAGGATATTTTCTGATTTTATTTCCCCCTTACCATCCTTGTGCAGCTCAAGACAAAAGGAAAGAGGAACATACTAAAATGTCACCTGAAGTAGCCTTGAACAGAATTTCTCCAGCACTCTCACCCTTTATTTCCAGTGTGGTCAGAAATGGAAAAGTGGGACTGGATGCTACCAATTGTTTACGGATTACAGACTTGAAATCTGGGTAAGTGATCCTCATCCGAAAAGAATATCCAGCCCCTTACCGTTAAGATGTCTTTCTAGGACTGAATTTTACGAGGTTCATGTGTGTTTAAGCATTTCCAATATATCTGGAGCTGACATACTAGCTACGTTATTTTTTGTCTTACTACCATTTCGTAGTTTGGGAGACTTAATTTGTCATATTGTTGGCAATAATACTCTTGTTAAAACACTTCCATTGCTGCCACTTGATAGTGCTGGTTTTCAGCAGCAAGATAAACACTTTCTTGTTGTTTATTACTTGCTTACTCCATCTTTTCTGTGAATTAAAAACTTGAGGATAAATTTGTGTGACCTTGTCTTTAGTCAGGAATATGCTAAATAAGAAAAAAATGCTTGTGACTCCCTCAAGATGAGTACATCAAGTGGCTAAGGGCCAAGTGCTTGAAATGGGCCAAGCTACTCCTTAATTTTAATTTTGGGAGGGTTCACAATGGTTTTCATATAGCAATAAAGTGGGAGATCCACATGTACAAAAGGACTTTGGTGTGTAACCTCTGTAAATAATACATGGGGAAAGTGAAATGCTAACAGTTTACTTTAGGCATTATGCAGAGAGGGGAGGCAACTAAGGTCACTGATAAAAGAATACTTGAAATAGGGCGTGTTGGAAACAGCATTGTTCCTTTAGAGTTAGGCATCTAATGGCATCCCTGATTCAGGTGTTTGATACTGGAGTTCAGCACCTGAAATTGGTTTATCTTAAGGTGTCTAAATCATGGCTTGTGTACAAACTGCTGCTTTGTATATAATTTTGAATGGTAGTGTAACCCATCTTGAGAACCACCACAGATCACTGTTGTTTAAAATTTAGTTCTGCTGAAAACTTTGTTTAATATGCTTCTGTAGGCTGCATGTTTCTGGTAGTTACAGTGCCTTTTCAGGAAGGAGGTGTGAATTCTAGGGTTAGTGAAAGGCCCTGTGACAGATTTACTTAGTCTGAGAAGCTGTAACTTGTTGCTAGTGATGTCTGGTTTGCCATTTAGGCTTGCAAATTATCTGAGATAGGTTGCGCGTCTATGCATCAGCTGCAGTCATTTCATGCTAGACCTTGCTTTCTCTTGAACTAAGCTCCCACCTCAATCTTACTAGAAGATTTCTCCTATTGAATCTGAGAATGCAAAATAAGATAGAGAAAAAGCACAGTAGTCTGGTGGTGAAGGTATCAGCTTGTTGGGAGGTAGATAGGGGTTTTGCTCTCTGCCCAATGAATGCTTATGCTGCCTGTCTTTAAAAGAACAGATTAGAATAATATGAAGTGGTGTTTTCCAGCTGGCTCTTTTCAGAGGTATTTAGAATAAAGGGTCTGAAGTTTTCAGCCGGTGATCTTACCCAGATGATCTTGAATTTACTTTGATAAATCCTAAATGTTTCCCAGGGGTTTATTCTTTGAAAAACTAAAACCTGCACTAGCAGCACCTGTTACCCAAACCCAAGGATTCAAATTGTGTATTAACTGTGTTGAACATGGTGTTTACACCGCAAATACAACACCTGACAGAGATTGGACTGTATATTGTTGAAGGCATAGGCTCAGCTAGATGCAAGTGCTAGCAATTTATTTATTTATTTATTTATTTATTTATTCTTGTTCTGGAGCATAAAGAATGAGGTTCATTTCTATGTTGAGGCTTTATTTATGGCTTGAGGTTATTAGGAGCTGGAGTTGAGATCCTGCATTTAGTTGAGAATTATTTTTTTAGGTGATTTTGGGGGGGGTACAAGTAAGTTTCTTAAGAGCTGTATTGTAAATGGGATTTATTAGCAATTGCTTGAAATTTGTTTAAAATGTAAATTTCATGCATGTGTTTTTTTTTAGAAAAGGTGTGGGCTTTTTTTTTTTTTTGTCTTACAAATAAAGAATTGCTACGTTATAGTAGGGAAACTCTTGCTTTGTGCATTGGTGTGTAAATACAAAGTTCCTTGTCATTTGTGCTTTATAGGTAAACAGCGTAAAATCATTCAGTGTAAGACAGATGGAATTGCAGAGAGTCCCTTCCATAGCTCAAGATCTCATTCAGTGGTCTTTAACCTTTGATATAGGAGCCTTTGGGTCTCCACAGACTGTTTTTGAAAGGCCTATATCAGTTGATAAGTAAAAAAAAAATCCTCAACCCACCATATTGTCAGGAGACATGAATTTATTGCTGCTTCTTAAGGAAGAGAGCCCAAAAATGGACTGAAAACCATTGCTCTGCTTACCTCCCTATCCTTATATTTCAGGACTATTCAAACCCTGGTATACAGAAGAAATATCAGGCAGAGGTAAATGCAGGTGGTATCCACATGAAGAAACAGAAGTATAAGTACGTAGAGGTTGGACATAAGCAAGAGGTAAATGAGGAGAACCTTTGCTACAGAAATAGAGATGAGGTTCAGGGCATTAACTACAAAACTCCCTTCAGTTTCAGTGGGGCAGAATCAGGCTTTAAACAGTGGAACAGGAAGGTGAGGAAGAGGTACTAGATGAATGATGTTAAATAAAAAATACTTCTTGATCTCAAATGAATATGACGATTTATAAGAAGTATCAGTTCAGAAACTTTGCTTTCGAATAGTGTTTGCACAGTTATTGACACATGAAAAGGGCTGTAAACACATCTATTCCATAGTCTAGACTTTTATTGCAAAATATGTATTTTATGCTATAACTGGTGTGTTGTGTGGAAGATTTTTTGAAGTCTAAAATAAATTAAATGTTAGTGTAACCCGTAAGATGTTAGAATATTTAAAGTAATCATCTTAATAACTGTTAACTCCAATAACAGAAACATCTGGAAGATTCTGGGACAAGGGGAGGAGCTGCATGGCTGCTGCACTGTCACGTACCACGCTGTTATTCTGATAGAAAGTTGGGGGTTGCTGTAGTTACACCACTTCCCTGAGGAACTGATGCTTTACAGTTATAACAACACAAAATGTACAAACCGAAGATCCATCCATTCTCATTTCTTAGGATTTCAAAATCAGCTGTGACTTAAAAGAGAATAATGGTAACATTGATACCTCTAAGGTCTTGCCCATTCAGAGCCTTTGTTTTGACATTCTCAGCTTGAAAGTGGAAAGAATTTCCCTTTCAATTCATCAGTGCAAGATCAAGTTCCAGGTTTATTAGTCTGTCATGTCAGTTGGTTTTGATTTGTAAATGGCAAACATGTTAAGCCTTTAATTATTTGAAAAGTCAATCCATATGACAGATGGTTTTAGTAAGGAACTTTTTTGCACTTATTTGAACTTATTGCTAAGATCGACTACTTAGGTTTGCTGTGTTTTATAAACTGTATTAAAGAGCTGATGTTAGATTAGAAGTATGAAGTATGATGATATGTTAATTTGCTTTGCTTGGTGGTGTAGGAGGGAAATATGTCATAGTAAAGAAATCCTATTGTTTTGCAGTCTTTGAGTATGTAAATGTTTTATAATGATATGTTATGGTTCCATGTCTGTGTGTTTTACAAACTTATTAGACAGTACCAGTCTCATCAGACACTTAAATATATTTACATATATGAGCAGGACCTTCAGGAACAAGTCCTGTTTATAGAAATTATATGGCCACTGCTGGTGTAGAGTGAGGTAGGGTTAGGCTTTAACCTAACCCTAACCCTGGGTACCCCTGAACTGAACTCGGCAACATAGCATGACAGGAAAGAACGAATATCTTCAATGGAAATAGTAATGAAAAGTTAGGTGGCTAATTCTAGAGTGCTGTTACCTTCTTGTGAAAAGGGCTCCAGAGTGAATAAACCAGAACCTGAGTGTTGCGTCACATCTAAAATACAGCACCGTTAGCAGCATTGATTTTGGTGATAAGAAAACCCTGGCGGCATCTCTGTTTCATTAATAAAAGACGTTCTTTGAGATGACAGAGTGGATCAAAGCATTTTTAACTCCTGCATAGGTTATTACCTCCTTCTAGACTCAAAGAAAATACTGCTGCCAGTTGACTCAATGCTATGTGTTGTATCATTCAGTAAATCTCAAGTGGTGTCTCTCTGAAATAATGACCCATCTTAATTAGATATTAAAATCTACTCATAACCAACTGAATTGTGGCTAAGGCATTTTTCTTAGCACTTATGCATATAATCATGGGAAAGATGTTGAAGTGATTATTAGGTAGATTTAGAAATAGAGGACATTTTCCTGTGTGAAGGGTGTTTAATTACTGTATAATGTAGAATCCCATTATTTAAGAGGCTGCTGCTTTTTCTATGGTGTATTGCAATAGGGAAAAACATATTTGTGGTGGTCATTGCCTTTGAGAACTCTTTGGTTTTGGTGGGGGGGGGTGTTTTGGGGTGTTCTTTTTTTCTTTTCCCCTACAGCTGCTCATCAGGGCCCATGCCTGATCCCCAAATTATGCTGCAAGCCTATTCTTACTCAACAAACTTTGCTTTGTTTTTTAAATGACTTTGATGTGTTGCACCAGCCAGAATTTCAAAATGAATACAGTGATTTAAAGCTGCATATATAAAGATTCTATTTGGATTTTTTTAAAGTTATCCACTCATAGCAAGATTTTAAATTTCATACTTGTGTGGTTCTACTTTTTCCATATTTATGAGGAGATTAATTGTGGAATTCTGATGTAGCTGGTTTGTAGTAAACCGTGTTGGTATTCTGTTCTTTGCTCTTGTCTGATTTGCTATTGGTTTCTGCATCTTTACTCGATACTGAGCTGTGTTTACAATCAATGTGTTCCAAAAAGAAATCTGTGTCAAGAGTGGTCAAAAGAATCTAGTAGATTCTGAAGTAATGTTTAACATACAAATATATTATCAAGATGTAATAAGCTATTTATAACTTTATTGCCCTGTTTCCTAGTGAGCAGTGATGATTTACTTTTTTGTGTTATCAAGTAGACTGCAATATGGTTTGGTATTTCCCTTTCTTTTGGGCATTTCCCTTTTTAAAGTAAATATGCATTTTATGTGCGTATTTCATGAAATCATATTGTTT